AATAAATTATCTTTCTTTTTCCATACAAATTTTTCTAAAAAATTTTCCCTTACAAAAATAATCAATTACTAGAAAAAAATACAAATTTATCAAAAAGTCATAAAAGTGTATAATCCATAATCTAAAAATTAATTATTGTATCGCTATTTTTCTAATTGGAACATCTTCGATGAGTTCTATTATTTTAACGGACAAAGTATACCATCAACTTCACGATCAAAGTTCAATTTATAATCGATCGATGACGTTGGTTACTTACGCACATTGGTTGTGAATGATAATAGAATGATTTCATAAATTAATCTGCAGACACGGGAATGTATTGGGTCATTTAAAAAGTATCCGCGGTTTTTTCATTCAAAAATTGAACAAAAAACCGCGGATACTTTTTAAATGACATAATATTATGAATTATAAAAAGAAACAGGAGAGAACTAATAGAAAAATCATCAATAAAATCGTATTAGCATTATGATAGATTGATACTTGCCATTTCTTTGCATATTTATGTAATGATTTATAAGTTCGCGACTCTTGTCCCTTTTAAGAAACGAAATTAAATGTAGGTGTAGGTTAATTCATCGAAGTATAAAACACTTTGATCGGTCAGAATGGAATGCCGTTGTGCGCGAGTATTATTCCAAACGATACGCGTTTTATCACAGAAGAGAGTTCGTTAACAGTAATAATACGATATTAGGTCATTAATAATAGTCCATTCATAGGCGAATGATTAATCACATTTTTATACATATACGATGCAAGGACAAGGGAAAAGCTGTTTATTTATAATTATACATTATTAGGTTCGCTTTTAAAGCTAATTCTTAGACAGCAAATTCATCAACAAAAATTAATAAATTAATTAATAACCGAAGTTCCGATAAATCTGATGGGAAATGCATTAATTGCTACGCAAAAACATCGACGAGAATACAATGGGATATCGATATCCTTGCGTCGCAGCTGTGCTTTCACACGAGTTAATGAGACTAAATTAGAATAAATAAGGATCGCGTGACCAGGGCCAACAGACGGACGTATTAAAATACAAATCGCTGGAGTGAAGCAACCGATGTTTCCGCAGCCTCTTTTAACTTCCTCCCGTACGAAGGTGTACGACCTCCCGGGATGACTCCTCGAATCGCCGGGCTCCTCTGAAAACACGTGATGAACTGGACCACGAGGACGTGTCGGTACCGTTAAGAACGGAGTCGGCAAAAAGCGAGCCGCGTGACCAAACCAGGCATACGTGCTCAGTGCATCACTCGTTCCGAATTTTCTGCTGAATTCGCGCAAGAGCGCTTCATCGGTCGTATACAAAGTATTTACTATTGCAAAATGTCTTTTAAATATGAATTCGACTTTGTAAAATATTTTAGAGACTATTAGAAAGCGCTAAAGAAAGAAAGTTGCAGTCTTTAAATAATTATAAAGAAATATTTAAATAATTAAGTAATTAATAAAATTTTTTGAAATCGCAGAACTCATTTAATCTCGGTGAGCGACTAGAAGTTCTAGTCTCGATTACGTCTTTCATTGAGACTTCTTCAGAATCTATGTTAGTAAAAAGAATCTTCAAGTCGTTTCAATTTAATTATTCGTAATTCACTGCACGTAGTGTATTATTATCTACGCAGACAGCCAATTAAAACGAAGAAATCATACTCGTCGATAACGATAAGCCTCATTAACGTACGTAATGTCACGACATCGAGCGACGTAATCGACGTTGCCTCTTACAACCCGAGAAACGGCGTGCCAAATCTAGCACACGCGAAACATTTTGCAATGGCGCGATTATGAAACCGAGTAAGATGCGGGCCATAAAAGAAATAATATAGAGGGAAGGGAAACACGCGCACACACACTTGTCATAATAATTACAACTGCGGTATAATCACGCTGCGACGATCCAGGGCTGGAAAGTCAAGGACTAGAACTCTCATGTCGGAAAGTGAGTCAGCAGCGCGCTGTATAGACAGGGAACAGGATGGGAAAAATTCGCGAGACGAATCTTGCGCAACGAGAGGAAACGAGAACGAAAGTGTAACCATCGCGGAGAAAATCCGGGACGAACGATTTAACGCTTGGCCGAGCAATGGTGGATAGGTAAATAGGTAAGCGTAGAAATCCTCAAGCAAGTGATTGAACACCGTTTAAGCAATTTCTGATGGATTTGCCATACTTTGTATTTTTCAGAAACCTGTTTGAAATAGGATGAGAATGGATACCTTATTCTGTTCTGTGCATAATCTATCTCATTTGATCTTAAACAGGTTCTGAAAAATATCAAAGTACCATTTGGCGAAGTAAATGTACGGTGTCCAATCTCTTAAGGATCTCTAGATACATACACGAGAATGCGAACGCGCGAAATTCCTCGCGAAATGATACTGCGGTTACACGGTTACACCGCGAGAATCGTCACAAACAACTTTCCATGTCTTGCACATTCGAGAACACTCATGCTCGCGATAAAACATGCGATATTACACGCGCCACTCGAGAGACAAATGCTGCGTAAGTAACGGAGGAATGAACGAAAGAGCGCAGAAAAAGCGTTGAATTAGAATTTAACTCGTGCATTAGAGAAGATTCCTGATTGATCATCACGAATTAGTTCGTCATTTGTTTTTTTATGCCAACTATCGTAATTTATTTTCATTAAATTCTATTAAACATTTCTTTCATCGGACAATCATTAAGCTTATCGATACGTCAATGTCTCTCTAGTGTTGAATCGCACCGAATCAAAGACCAGAACGCGGGAATTTATTCGCCTGTTTCGTGTGTGTTGCAGATGCCCTCGAGAGCACGGTGTTGCCGAAACCACATCTGAGCAAACGAGTTGTAAGTGACCGATTAAGATATCATCGATCGCATCACAAATAGAGACGAGGCTAATTTCTCTTCACCATAATAATAATATTTCATCACGATTGTGATTAGTATCTGCTCAATGATAATGATTTATTGTGATAATTAAAAGTGATGAAATGAAATTTTACTGCTGCAGTAGAGAATCAAATTGATATACCTATCATTTTACTGATCGACTTTCTGTAATCAGCTACCATATTTATATCTATATCAATTAGCATCATCAGTGCCTTTCGCAAAACGTAAATGCGTTGACGTAAACTTTAAACAACATCTCTTGTCAAAGAATATAACTCTTTGTCATCGTTATTTTTGATTATATAAACATGTGAACTTCTCTTCCTATAACGAACCAAGATTTGTGTTAAGCTTTGAATAAGCTTTCACGTCATTATGCGCTGCGGCATTTGTACGAGATATCATTTTCATGCGAAGTGCCCGTTCGTAGAATGACAGGAAGTAGTTCTTTGCAAATCTCACACACATATGTATTGGTTACACAAATTGTGGATCTCCGAAGCGCGGGATAGCAGATCGTCCCCCGAGATCTCGAATCCATTGGCCATGACCTGCCTCCACTCACGAGATCGCGTGAAATATATTTTACATTGCACGGATATACGTGCATAGATGTACGTCCATTCAGAAATTAAGCCGGAAAATGTTCTGATAAAATTATGAAACTGTGCTTTAGATTTCTTGTTAAAAATCCAGTTTACGTGCAAAAAGTATAATTCGCGATCCTTAACATAAAAAATAGTCCGCGTGAAATTTCGCGTCTTCTATCGAATTTTTATTTTGTTGAAACGATAAAAATTGAGAAACGGAAAAACTTAACATTTTTATATAATAAATTCCTAGACGTTTTTTCGAGGTCGAAATTATACGTAATCTCTTTCTATTTTAGTATTTCACTTTTTGTTATTGCTTATCTGGTAAACTAATCATTTACATAATATTATATTTTTGAAATATGTGTTTCATAATACTAATCTAATTTGCCTTACTAATTTTTTTCAATAATTACGCTGTTGATCGTGAAAGGTGAGAGTGCGATTTCAATCCGGACGCAGTCCGTTGGTTACGTAATATCGAGAAATATCGGTATCAGCTTATCGATATGATTAACAAGCACAATGGAACCCATTATTTGTCTTATCTCATTGATAGTGAGGGATATTTATTTCAATCCCGCGGTCCCAGAGTTATTAACTTATTAACGCGCAAGAAATGCACCCAAGTCGAATTGCGTATGCAGCCGACCAATTAACGTGATTACGATCGGTCATGCGAGTTCAATGCACGTCGTTGCGCGATCACGGCGCGTGAACCATCGCCTTTCTTTCCTTCTTTTACCCGCTGTTTATAGATGGAAATGACGTCACTGTTATGCCAACACCGTGGACAGTATGCAAAATAATGCAAATGACATGCCGAAACTGCTCGCCCTGTGCCTTTCTATGTATAGGACGCCGGTCATAGCGGTTTAACGGTTCAAAGAGGTATTTGATGGAAAAAGAGGTTTATCCGACCTATAAATTTTCTTCATTCAACCCGACGATCCTCGCTTTAAATGATTACTTACAGAACGGCTATCATAGAACGGCTATCTTAGTATACGCGGAACTTTGACGTTCACATTTTGTTACCTGCATATAATTATTGCACAATATATTGATTAAAGGAGAATATTTTTTCAATTATAGTCAGTAAATTGGAAAGCGCTCGTAAGCGTATTTTATGTTCTTTCGAATTTCGGAATGTATGCATTTTATACAACGAATAAAATTTAATACTACTTTAATACTACTTTTATGTAAAAGAAAAAGATTAAATTAATTTTTTATGATACAATAACGTGCGATGCATTGGTTGATAAATGTAAAAATATTTGAGCTGTACTGAAAAGTATCTGGGTGCATAATGCACGTAATCGCACATCGTTATATTATAAAAATAGTTTATCTCTGTCTATATATATAGTATAATATATAATATATAATGATCTGCGTGCCAAATGTACACAATGTACGAGTTATATAGCAACTATTACGTATTAAGAAATATATGTATTAAGATTCTAATGATCATAATACTTTCTCATGAGTTAACTCTTACTTTATCGTACAAACTGTACCGCCTCTTATCTGCAGCCCCACATTGACGATTGCTGAGGCAATGATAATACGCTGATAAGGATTGCCTGGATCATCGGGTTTATCAGCGCTTGGCCATCGCTTTTCAGCTTGGCTGATATAATTGAGTATCGAATGTATCACGCGCGACTAGAATCGACTTGGATGTTTTGCAGGTGTTACAACGGTGGTAATTACCGTCAGGCTGGGCGTGTGTACTAATTACAGGCATTAGATAATTATTGCTGTGTTAAGCCAGCCGGGACGTTTTACTTTCATTACTTTCCTTCACGGTCTGCTTGTATAGACCGTGAAAATTACGATCTTTCGTGTATGCGACTACAGGATATTACAAAGTACAACGTAATAGCAATAATGAGCAATACGTTCGCTTACTATTACGAAACGTTAATATGTTATACAGGAAAACGGTAAGCGATGAGTAATGCTTCATTATTGGACACACCGTATATCGTGCTTTCTGATAATTGCTTATTTTTGGTATCTTTAGTTACACGGTGCGTGTCCAATTTAGCTCTTAAAAGTCCACTTCTCTACCCATCACGTTGACCTCCTTTCGGTGGTCGACCGCGTTGGACATCTCGGTATGTAACGTTCACTTCGAATCTACAATGCACAGAGTTAACATTTGAAAATATTAATAATCATCATTACGAATGCCCCGCTATGCTTGTTCTTGACACGGCGAATTACATAATCCATTCATCTTCTACGTACGCGAGGTATTTGATTCTTTTATAAATATTCAATAAAACTGACGCGTAACAAAACTTACAAACACATATATGACATATTATTGAGAGATGTATCCATATACGATTTTTTGTTGCAGATAAATCAGATTGAAAGATGCAGGCAGCACCTTTGCTATCGTTCCTCCTGATCCTTTTGTATCATTCGGGATGGACCCACGGGCTCTGCAAGCTGAAGAACAGCACCACAGCATGGTGCGACCAACTGAAAGACCTCAAGGACGTCGAGACGCATGGTCTGGAGACTTTGAGTGCTCCGGTCGCACAAGACATTTTAATTCCTGGCCTCTTTGACAATTTGACTAGCCTTAGGCATCTTGACCTGTCCGATGGCGATCTGAAGAAGATCGAACCAGGAAGTTTTCGAACTTTAAACGACTTGAAATCTCTCAATCTTGGGGATAATCGCATCGAATACCTCGATTTAGCTTCCCTGGAGGGTCTGATCCATCTGCGAAGTTTAAACTTGCGGAGGAATGTCATCCGACAACTGCCACCTGCACTGGCGCGTTTAAAAAATCTTAAGCATCTAGATATTCATGGTAATCCGCTCGAGTGCAACTGCGCCACCCTCAAAGTCCGCGATCTTATCGTACAGAGGGGCGTGACGGTGTCGAAGAAAGTCGTGTGCGCGGGTCCCGGCAACATGAAGGGCACGTCGCTGATGAAACCAAGCGCGATGATCATTTGTAACTTCGAAGAGCAGGATCGGGAAATGCAAAACGACCAAGCGGAAGGATCTGGAGAATCGGATTTAGGATCCGGAGACGTGTTGGATGGATTCAATGAAGAGGAAGAAGAAGAAGAAGAAGAGGAAGACATAGAAAATAAAAACAGCACATCGGAAAAACCGAAAGAATCAGAAGTTGAAACGCCTTTCCCGACCGTGTTGATAGAATCCACGATAGAATCTTCCACCTCGAAAATAACCGTGGAGGTCACTACTGGCACAACAATGAATTCTTTACAACATAGCACGGAAGATGAAGAAATTTTCTTTGACAATGAAGATAAAAAGGAACAAATATCCACGACTGAGATGTCGCAAAAGAAGAACATTAAGGATGTCTTGTTTTATCCAACTGCAGGTTCGGGCGATGGAGATGAAAGTTCCGGCGAAGGATCTGGTGCTACTGGAACGCATTACGATGAGGAGGAGACTGAGAAGGTAGATACTAGTGAGGGATTTTTTGCCACGGGAGCAGGCTTCTTGAATACGCTTTTTGGATTTGGAACTTCTGTGACTACGTCGACGACTAAAGAGCCAAATCTTGAAGAGGAGGAATTTATACATGTATCGACTACTAATCTGGCCACTGAGGAGACAATCGTGTCTGATAAAAGCTATTCAGTTGAAGCCGGTAATGAAAAATCCACCGAGGTTACCACAAAGGTCATACTACCTAATCTTAACACGAACGACGTAGTGCTAGCATCTTCTGATATAGTCGATGATTCTAAATCTGATAGTATGATGGATAGAAGTAACAACGAACAAGCAGTATCTTCACCTAAGCAATCCAAGAAAGGCATGGGCTCGTATGTCGTTCTAGCGGTTTTACTCGCCATAGTGGTAGCGTTGATCGGTTTCGCCGCGTACAGAGGCGATATATGTAAAAAGAGGAAGTCACGCGATGTAGAAACCGGCACTGAGATGAAGGAGATACAGAAGTCTCTTTTAGAACACGGTGAAAATTCAACTCAACCGAAGAAGGAAGAAAACACACCCTACGTAACGGAACTCGAAAGTGATCCTCTCGTGAAAGTCAAATCTGCTGGTGACGATGCGAAAATTGATGATATCCATGTCATCCACGATGACGACTATCAAACGCGAGAACCGCCGCGTCTCAATGGCACTGTTGATCATTCAGAACTCATAAAGCCGCCTAGGAAGCAACTTTTACAGGACGAAAATGCAATTTCACAAGATGATGAGGTGAGAGAGGAGAGACCTCGTGTGGACATAAATTCCTTGAAGAAAAACTTCCTGGAGGATAGGAATCCGCAACCCTCTACTTCGGCGACGACCAATGGACCGACGACGCATTTTCCAGAGCCCAATGGACCACCGCTCAGTCCAGGGGCCCAAAGAGTGAAGATCACTTTGCAGGAGATTCCCGACAGTGTGCCAAAGACGCCTATACTCATTACACGAACAATGGCTGGTGAGAATCTAGTCAAGACGCCATGAAGCAGTGTCCTGGGAAGAGAATCTACGAGAAATAACGGACGTTATATCGACCGATCGACATACTCGTCTGTCGAACAGAAATCGAAAGACAAATATGTGTGGAAATGAAGGAGAAAGTTTTTTTAAAGAATGCGACGTACAGATGTGATTTATAATAACATTGTTGTTCCTAGGGCTGCACACGATTTGACTCCTCGTGATGGATTTTCGTGATAAAGAAAGATTACCGAGTCAAAGACCATATACGACAGTGGCTAGGAGATGGCTATTGTTTTCGGCAGGAAGCTGAAAGTGTGCGAAAGGTGACTGAGGAACAGTTTGTAACCTCAGGCCATGTTTCTGAATATTGAATAATTGGATGCACGAAATGCTATATGTTATATTTGCTAAAACTATATTCTGTGCAGGATGTCCTTTGGAAAGATATTGCGTATTATTTTTTATATATTTATAACCATATCATTCATTGTGTTTAACTATTCATAAGAAAATCTCGTAAAATCATAAATTTTAATTTGAAAATTTGTATACATATGAGCGAAGTAAATAAATGAATTTATTTACTTTTTAACATTAGAAGTTTTATATTCACTAAATGGATCAAGCAAATAAATTACTATAAAAAATGGTGAAAAATGTTTCAGATTTTAACGAATCAAGAAAATTCAGGAATCTTTTTTTAAATAAGATTGTAATGTTAAAAATCTAAGAAATAAAAACGGCCAATAAAATGACCCTTTGATATTTCTAATATTAAGGAATAAAGAATAAATAAAAATTTACTGTTTAAAGATCCATTGTCGAAATCTTGCAATTTTTATCGCTTATATAATATAATTCTTATCAACGCAATTGTCTTTTCTTTTTAATTTAATTGGGTGAAAATGAGCGATATTTTGGACATCCGCATTTATGCTATACGTGTAGGAGTGAGTATAGCGAATGGAGCAATGTTCGAAGTTAACACTATAGTACACTAGTCAGTCTTCCTAAAGAGACTCGCGTGTCCTACGAGCACCAAAACATTGAGAATTTAACGGTATTCATTATCACGCGAGATCGCATCGCGAGGATCCTTAGATTAATCGAGGATCGACGAAATGTTCGCCGTATGTCAGGCATCGATGAGCATTCCAGTTCTGCCATATTTTTTTACGCACGAACCATCGAAGATTAATGAAACCGTCGGCCTTACGCCGTCTTTCGATCAAATCACAGATTGTTTGCCAACGCGTACCTCGTAATTTTTAGAGTGAATTGTTAGCGTTTTACGTACGAAACGTTTATACGCGATTTGGAACACGGAGGAATTTGTATTATAATTCAATGAGAAGAGTTTGCCAATTATGAATAATGACCTTTGGAACAGCTTTTGGTACGGAGCTACAGAGTTTGAACGTTTGAACAATACTGTTAACATTGTAGACCTATTATTCACGTGAGAGAAAATATATACGTAATATCTTGTTATCACGTTATTACTGTTCTTGTAGCGGACGCGATCTCCTCGCGACCTTAGAGGCACACGTTTCAGAAAGGCAGTGACTCGTATTTTCATGTGCATTAATGTATTTATTCGTTGCATACGATGCAAATTAAGAGACAAATTTCATGTATGCGTGTGACGGCACTCCATCCTCCATGATTGCGTGATTATCAGTTAAATGGACGCGTCATGTAGCTGTGCGCACGGCGATCGCACGGCGTGACATGCGCAATGCGTTATCATATTATCCATACTATTGACTATTATTCCTTACATACGATTCTTTAAGTCAAAATGTGTCGAATGCTGTTAAGCCGTATATGATTTAATTTTAAGGTAGCGCGAACCCCGTTAGATCGAAACTTGTCCCAACGATAACGCACATTGTCAGATTTAACTTAGCGATAAAGTAAGGAGCTCAGTGAAGACTTTATTTATATGTTCAGCCTATCAATAAAAGAGAGTGTTATTTTGTTGATCCATCATGTACTTTAATCGTGCGTCATGGATAATCTTTGGCCTCGCTTTGTTCTCATATTCTCGAACACGTCACTAATATTATGATTTTATATACATTTATCTGTTACATAATTATTACTTGATGACATTTTGCGTCTAAAGAAAGCGACATAAATCACGTTGATTATCAATATTCGCATAAAAAATGAAGTATAAGTAATGAAGAAATATAAAATATATTTCATAACTTTTCATGTCAATGTCCTTCACATGTACGTATAAATATTACTTTAATATCTGTTCATAAATTTAGATCGTGTAAACTAAATGAAAATTTATAAGTCTTAAATATTTTTACATCCTTTCTTAATAAATAACCAAATCCACACAAAATACAGTCGATAAAATCGCACGCGAAACGCCCACTATGCAATGTAATGATTATTGGGATATTACTGAGAATTTGTACTAGACATTTAATAATCCAATTATTTACAATTTATAAATATTAGCGTATTTACCGCTTCTTATTCTTTTCGTAAATGATATATTAATATGATATATTAATATGATATATTAATGATATATTAATATGATGAATGATTAGTTCATAACTATAATCTTGAAATATCTTAATTTTTTTTAGACTGACAAGAAATTACCGTAATTCGAGATCGACGTGTCTTCGCTACATTCAAACCGGTAATCTGACGTTATTATAGCTAGAATCTCTATAGAAGAGACAGTGTTCCAAGAAGACGCTTGTACTTTTGCTCTTCTTCGGAGTAAACCTTTTACTATTGGCCAGCCGACTCATTTGTCATTTCCTTGATTACTAATCTTCCTTAGGCAATATGTGTATTTAACACAAGGGAAAAAACCGGTTTGGCAAGATAAAACCGCCGTAATATTATCGCGCAAACTAACATGTGTTATCATGGATCCGTATCCACCTTGTTGATTTAGCGTTGATTTGGATCGTAGAAAAATGACTTTTGCATCAGAAGAATAAGTTTTAAAATTACGAAGTCCCATATTCCGCAAAGTGTACGATGTAATATTAATTGTGCTTCCAGCCGATTTATAAACGCGATGAGAGAATATTAAAAATCTACACTGCTATCTTTTTTTTTCTTATATTTTTATTAAATTTTTATTAAAACATCAAGAAAGTTTTATTATATGTTTTGGAACAATTCACAAATGGAAATAATTTAAGACTCGCGTTCCATAAACGATTCTCTGTAGCCACTCTTGGGCTCTCGTTTGAGTTCCTTGATGACAATGGAACGATTCGAATTCATTACCTGGACGTCGGAATCTTCATCGTCGGTCACAGGCTCGTTTCTAAGCACATGTCTTCTCTTTCTCTTCTTCGAGGTAGGCGTCTGCGGCCTTGGCCTGTCCTTGCTACTGCTGGACTCGAGAGTCTCGTCCACAATGCTATGCCTCCTGGCTCTGCGCGTTGAGGAAGTTCTAGGATTCCTATTATGCAGTTGACTCGTGTCACATATGTTACCACTGGAATTATTCCTCTCTCTTCTGATTCGTTCCTGCCGGCGTTCTTCCCGTCTCAGTAGATCATCTTCGCTCTGAGTCCGTTTTCGAGGTCTCCTCGTACGTCTTTTCTTTATTCGTAGATTATCCATAGAATTTATGGAACGCAAAGTGCCATTTTCAATGGAAATCTCGTTTAAAGCATCCATGGAATGAACTAGTCTTTGCATCTGGACTGCTTCCTCATAACTAGGTGGACCGGCTAATTCTAAAGGATTAATTCTGATTTCCTCTGGAGCCTCCAATGCCTCTATTTCTTCCTCCAAACGCTGATTCCTGAAAGTACGATAAAATAGAGCTTTTGTTTGATTTCATCGCGCTATTGTAGCTAGGAATGATATATTATCTGTAGCGTAATTTAAATGTTGAAAGATTAATTATAAAAATTCTTGTGTAGTACACATTTATTCTATAATACATTTGATTAATTTGAAGATTGATAATTCGAAAAATTTTGCGATTTATATTTATTAAAAATTCTGCTAAATTAAAAACATATAATTATACGTCGGTATGAGTAACGCACTCTCTGATATCACTTTTAAAGAGATGAATAATGTACCAGCTTGCGAAATTGTAATGTAAACCTACTAGACAGATATCTGTCTTATCTGTTGCAGGTAGATGTGTCCACTTTCCCTAGCATACATTTTCTGAATTATTCATTTTAATTACGTTGAAAAATATTGTAAACATAACGCGAATATTAAATTACTCAAACATTCATTTTGCTTATTATTACGTCATAAAATGAAGGTCATTATGTGCTCATTAATAGCATGCCGCGCGTATTGATTTTACTTAAGCGAGGCAAAGTGAAATATCTTTAAATGCATTTTGCATATATACACAGAAAACTTAATAATTAGTAATCCGAAAGCATCTTTACCTCCTTTGCAAACGTCGTAATCGTTCTCTCTCTTCTGCTAATTCCATTTGCCGTCTCTGCTCAAGGACTCTTCTCTTTATCTTCAGGGTGTGCTTAATCGATATCACGCTGCCACACAAAACGACTAGAATGAGCAAGCTGATCATTACCATTCCCCAAGTTCTGTCTTTAGAATAATATAAATTAGTGTTCCATTCATTGAAACATGCGGTTTCCCACGAATAGCCGGAAACGTTCGCCGGACTTTGGCAGATCAAAGTCGACTTTACAGTTTTGGACGGGGGTTCCATTAAGTACTCGAAGGTGTCATACAATTGCATACAGTCGCATCTCCATGGATTATCCTCTAAACGGATTGTGACTAAATGTAAATTGTTTTGAAATATGTCAGGATCCATCGCCTCCGTCAAGCGATTTCCTACGAAATAATTGATTAATTACATAAAACGTAAGCGCAAAAGATTTAAGATCTATACAAAATAAAAATGCAGAAAGAAATCAATTTCAAAAATACAATTATTTCAAATATAATAATTCTCGGATTAAATTCAGAAATCATGCATCGATAAATTTCAACGATTAATTAAATTTTTAATTAAAAAATTTATGTAATTAGAAAATTTTAGATTCTTCTTAATAATTAAAGAAAATTTTTTTCTTTAACTTTTACAAAAAAAAAACGAAAAAGTCAGAATATATAATACTGAAACGTATTTTGAGGCAAGAAACACGATTAAATAATAAATTATAACATATACCTGATAAGTCGATCTTTTGTAATAATGGCAATTCAGCAAAGCTATCATTGTGTAACTCGATGAGCCTGTTTCTCTGCACATCTAGTATTCTTAACGTCTTCGAATTTAAACTGCGCGGTAACGACTGCAGATGATTGTCTTTCAAATTCAGAATTTTTATTTTGGATAGGTCTTCTAGAGAATTCGCCCTAAAGTGATTGATTAGATTGAAGGATAGGTCCAATGCCGTAACAAAAGAAGACAGATACGGGAATCGGTACAGAGAGTTGTAGGAAAGATTCAGAAGTCTGAGATCGATGTCCCTGAACGCTAGCTTGTGAATTTCTCCAAGATTGTTCGCAGACAGATCCAGTACTTGAAGCTTCATCAAACCTTCAAATGTGCTAGCATTCAATAACGCCAAGTTGTTCGAATTCAGGTACAAGTGCGTCAGCTGCCTGTTTTTGATGAAAATACGATCTGGCAGTAAACGAATTGTGTTGTGAGAGAGTCGAGCCTGCGTTAATGATGGCAAACCATGAAGACCAGGTCGGTCAAGATTACATCTCGATACGTCCAGTTTTTTTAGCTTTAGATGCTCTAGGGTCGAATATCTACAAACGAGTAATGTATGATATTATTTGTAAAATTCCTATTATTATTTTTATTTAGTAAGAACTATCAAATTTATTAAGCGATTCTTTTCGATGATTAATTTAGATATAAAATTAAAATTATAATCAAATAAAATTTCATTACCGAGTACTGTACACTAATGTAGGATTATTGACCAGTCGTAACTCCTCTAATTCTGGAAATCCAACGAAAGTGTCTGGATTCAGATAATTTAGAGCGCAGTCAGACATATCTAACCATCGCAATGTCTCGCTGACAGGTGTTTGAATACTTTTCAGCGGATTTCCTACAAGACTTAGAGTATTCAGCGCCGACAGTCCATTCAAGGATTCATTGCTGAATACTTTTATACCTAAAACAAATAAAATTTTTATTAGTTTAATACATACGTGCATTTATTATTGAATTTTAAATATTTTTTCTATATATTTCTATGCAAAAAGGATAAATCTCCGTATTATTAAATATATATTATATCAAATATTATATATATTACTAAATTAAAATATGTCCATAAATACGTTTCTTTTTCAAATTAATTGTTATTATAATGTCAACGATTTTATAAACAAATATGATATTTTAATAGATACACTGAGAGAAAAGATTTTGTTAATTTAGCAAGCCATCAGTATATTTAATCGGTAGATATGTGACAACAAATTTTGTTGTGATTGCTATTAGTCTGCTATATCAACTAATTATTAGTAACAGAAACAAACTACATACATATCAATTTCTTATGATTTGAGACCCT